CACATTCACTGCATACTCACAGCCTAACAGACGAAAGCATAACTCTTTGCTGGAGAAACGTGGTGAAATTCAGAACCGTTATGCAAAAAGTTGGGATGGGGCACATTTTTACAGTTGGACAAGCTCTCCTATTCTCAATTTTGTTAATCTCAATATGAGCAAAAGATTCGACTTGTGCTCGCTTGCCAAAAATGTGTGCCATTCGTTCTAGTATGCGAAAGGTTGTCCCCCTCAAAAAGTTTCACTCCACATAATGATACTTGTTAAGGTATAGTTTTAAGGTCAAGCTAAGTTAGTTTCTGCTGTATATTATACTGTAGTTGGAAGTGGGAGGGTACCAACAACAGCAGAGCTACAGTGGAGTGGCTGGAGCAGGTCTAGAGACAGACACTGAGTATCTCGACGTCATCACGATAGAGGAGGCGGCCAGTCTGGTGCGTCCAGTTACCACCACCACAACACCATACCCCCCTTGTCACCCTTCTGCTGTTTTCCTCTATTTATTGCACGCTTCTGCAGATGTGTCCATTTGCAGAGATGGGAACCTGTCCGTTTGGAGAGAGGTCAGTGATTAAAGTCCTCTCATTCTGCATGCAACGGACCGGTTTTCCATCTCTCTGCAGATGTGTCCATTTGCAGAGATGGGAACCTGTCACCGTTTGAGATGAGGTCAGGTGAATACACTGGTCGCCGCTCCTCTCTGTATATGCCCCCAAACGCGACAGCGTTCCATCTCTGCAGATGTTGTCCATGGACATTGAGATGGGAACCTGTCTCGTTGTGGAGCGAGGTCAGTGGAATATGTCTCAGTCCTCTCATCTTCTGATTGCCCCAAACGGACAGGTTCTCCTCTCTCTGCAGATAGTGTCCATTTGCAGAGATGGGAACCGTCCGTTTGGAGAGAGGTCGTGGATTAAAGTCCTCTCATTCTGAATGCCCCCAAACGACAGGTTCATCTCTGCAGATGTGTCCATTTGCAGAGATGGGAACCTGTCCGTTTGGAGAGAGGTCAGTGATTAAAGTCCTCTCATTCTGAATGCCCCCAAACGGACAGGTTCCCATCTCTGCAGATGTGTCCATTTGCAGAGATGGGAACCTGTCCGTTTGGAGAGAGGTCAGTGATTAAAGTCCTCTCATTCTGAATGCCCCCACAATTCGTACACAGCAATTTTTCCATTTCAATTTAAACACTGGTTTTCTCTCTTACAGTTGTGAGTATACCCACGGGGACCTGTGTGAGATGTGTGGCAAGGAATGCCTGAGTCCGTTCGACCCTGAGCAGAGAAAAGGTCAGACATCATCCCTCTAACCTTTCGTCTGAAGTGAACCGTTTTTTAAAACCACTCACCCTCTCATTAGCTCATCACAGAGAGTGCGTCAAGTCACACGAACAGGAAATGGAGCGAGCGTTGCCATACAGAAGTAATTGAGTTCGTTCGTCTCAAACGTGCAACTTTGCCATTCTTGTGTAGTACGTATAGGAGTGAGGGAAAGACTTGCGGCATATGTATGGAAGTTGTTCTCTGTAAAGTATCTCTCTCAGACAGAAGATTTGGCATACTAAGTGAGCCTGGTGTGACCGAATTCTAGCCACAACTTGATCCATATTCGCCGTGTTGTTTGTAGGTCACTGCGACCACTGTTTCTGTCTGGGCTGCATTCGAAAGTGGAGAGGATCCACGCATGCTCGCAAAATTACTATTAGGTACATACTAGACTAATGCTGTTCCAGTTTGTTATTATTTTGTATTATGGTTGTTTGTGTATGTATCTTTACTTTCAGGGCTTGTCCGTTGTGTAGAACTGTGTCACACTTTGTGATCCCTGTAAGCTATGATAATGTATTAGTTCTCACTGATGGATGGTGGTTGCCCGTTTTTCTGCATTGGCAGAGTCAGGTCTGGGTGGACGAAGAGGAGGAAAAGAAGAAGTTGATTGATGAATACAAGAGTAACTTGAGGTATGAAATATCACTCTGTTGCAGTCTCTAAGATATCATAATGCGTAACTACTTACTTTTAAAGTGTGTGTACACTATGCATGACTGCGTATGAAGATCACAGCATTAACTATATACTCACTGTTAAAGTGTTCCTCCATGCTATATACCCACATCCCACCTCTTTTCTCTCTCTCTCTCTATTTTAGCAAACAGCACTGCAAGCACTTCAACAGGGGAAAAGGCACTTGTCCATTTGGAAATAGCTGCTTCTATAAACATGGTATAATACAACACCTCCCTTGCAAGTCTCTTTAGGCAGGCCTCCCCCTATTACATCAATACAGAGTATGAGGATGGGACAAAGGCTACGATTGTCCCACGAGTGGCAGTAAACGACCAAGGAGAGGGGAAATTTGTGGGAGACCATACGTAAGACAACATCACCACACACACTAGCAGACTCTGCAGTCATACACCCAACTTCTGTGAATTATGTCAAATGTTCTCTTGTGCTTTTTCGTAATGTCTCTAACTGTTTTTCACAGATTGTGGGAGTTTATTGAAGAGAGGGACGCTCGTGAGGAGGAAGACGACAGGGTCGGCCTCAGTCGAGGGGTTGATTGGACGTCCAGTAGCAGTGAATCAGACCATGACCCTTTCCTCTGACCACTCCTTCACTCTGATTAATAGCTACTACTACAACTGTACGTGTGTGTATACATATGCACGCTATTTAATAATTATAGGGGAAATCCATTTTAACACCACAAACAATCTTTTTGTCATTTGTGCTGATCATGTGTATTATATGCTCCTTGTGAATAATGGTCTATTTATTTATTGCAACACATTGCATAATGTGGCAGCTACATATTATTATGGTATTGTATATATATACAAAATGAATGATGAATGGAGTTGTGTCAGTGTTACTCAAACACGGCAATGACAACATCATCCCAATCCCGACAAGCATGGCAAGGATCTCCAGAAAAGACTTGAACAGTGACGTGTCCTTCAGGAGATCAGGGATGACAGACACAGTGGCGATGTAGATGAACCCTCCCGCCGTGAAGGGAAGGATCCAAGCAATGGCGGAAGAGCCGACCCCCTCCGCCAGGAGTCCGCACAGCGTCCCACAGAGGGCTCCGACCGCCGTGACCAGTTGCAGCGCCATTGCCTTTTTCTTGGGGTAGCCCGATTGGACGAGGATGGCAAAGTCTCCGATCTCGTGCGGGACCTCGTGCAGGAGGATTGTGATGGTCGTGATGACACCGACATTGCGCCCGGCCAGATACGAGGCTCCGATGGCAAGACCATCGGTGAAATTGTGGGAGAAATCGGCGGCCAGATTGAGGTACCCGGCCACCTTGATGTCGCCACCACCGCTGCTCGAGCCTGTCTCTGCCACGTCAGCCATCTTACGTTCATCTGTAGAGAAGAGAGAGTATACCATTTCAGCGAGGGACCATAAAGGAAGAACTGCAGTAAGTACAAGATTTCACCACTAAGTGCAAATATCTCGCGGAAGGCTACAAAACTTGAGAGTTGGTGCTATAATGCACAGCGCTTTGCAACAACAGTAAAATGGAGAAACCCTCAAATTTATGGAAGATCCAGTTTCTCATGGTACACATTTACATAGCATCTGGACTAACGCTCCAAGTGTTGTGTTACCTTTCCCTCCTTTTCTCTTGCGAACGGTGGAGCTGTCATCTCTTTCGTTCTTGCTCTCTGTGACCTTTGGCTCAATCCTGTTGCCGTGGGAGTGGGCGTGTCCTCCGTGACTATGCCCCTCCCCTCCCCGGGCAAGTCGGACAAATTTCTCCACTATCAGGAACGCAACGATCCCGAGTAGCACCCAACCACCTACCATCATATCAGCCATGTGGTCGTGTTCGTCGTGATGGTGGTCATGTTTGTCATGGTGATGGTGGTCATGTTCGTCATGATGATGGTCGTGTTCGTCGTGGTGGTGGTCGTGTTTGTGACCGTGTGGCGATATGGCATGCGGAATTAGGTGAAGAAAGGCGTCGCCTAACAAACCACCGGATGCGAAACTGAGCAGCACTTTCAACAAGGTGCTGTGCTCAGAGGCATTCTCGATGGGTATGAAAAACAGGATGACGAAAGGGGCTGCACTAATTAGAAGGGTGGAGGCGATAGAGTAGACCCAGAGCTCTGCAGTCGTCTCTATGGGGCCTGAGAACTGTTCCAGGAAACTCCACTCGGTGTGAGAGCCGTGTCCAGCGACCAGGCCGACGGCCTGCAGCAGTAACACTGCAACCGTGACTCTGACGAGGGAGAAAGGGAGAGAACGGCCTAACAAAGGCCCCATTGCACGGTATGGCGATTATTTCAACCACATAAGGGTCCTAGGGAGCTATGGAACTGCTATAAGTAAAGTTTATACCTTCCAAGGTGGCTCCGCAGCCTCTTCAGACCACCCATTGTGATACGAGACGAACAAAACAATGACACGTGGCACGATTTACGCACCAAAATCAGTGCGCATGCGCACGATAAGGTCAGCTAGCTGACGACTCTGCATGGCAAAAAAGATGTCGCGTTTTGTTGGGACAACGATTTTGCTGGTGCTGCTGCCAGCGCTAGCTCTGTGCAGCTACCCCTGGCCGGACAATGTCACACAACACAAAGGCTACATCGAGGTAGGTTAAACACACGTGCAAACATTGAAACAATGTGCCTGCAGGTCAACAAAACGCACGGGGTGAACCTATTCTACTGGTTCTTCGAGAGTCGGAGCAACCCGGCCAGCGATCCTCTGGTCGTGTGGCTGACTGGAGGCCCAGGTTGCTCCTCTGAACTGGCTCTCCTGACGGAAAATGGGCCCTTTCTCATCAACGGAACAGCGGACCCCGTCTACAACCCTTACGGTGATTTGGCAACCTAATTAGCGGCTTATTAGTGGTCCCAGTTTGCTTGTAACAGGCTGGAATGCAGTCTCCAACCTCCTGTATGTCGACCAGCCTGCAGGAACCGGGTTTTCCTACGTGACAAACCCGCTCGGCTACGAGACAAACGAGCGGCAGATAGCCACGGAGCTGTGGGATTTCATTCGTCAGTTTTATCAGCTTTACCCCAAGTACTCCACCCTGGATCTCTATATCTTTGGAGAGAGCTACGGTAAACCATTTTCTCTCTAGTCTTACTTATAATTATAGTGTAGCTCCTATATATTAACGAACGGTTGACAAGTGGAGTAGTAAACTTTATTCTGCACACTGTCCTAAGTACTTCCGTTTTTTGACAAAATTTATGCGCTGGCTAAGCCAATATCCATGACTTATATAATAGGAGTTTGGTTTTCTCCAGCTGGCCACTATGTTCCGGCAACAGGGCAGGTTATTGTTGAGAGCAACTCTATCTATGCCAAGAACCTCAAGGGTATAGGCATCGGGAATGGATGGGTGGACCCTTTGCTCCAGTATGCTGATTACTCTAAGGTCAGCCCCTCCCCCAAGACACTCCCCAACCCAACTGAAATATTGTTGTGTGCATTAATTAGAATTTGACCCCATTTGGGGTTAAAGGTCATCATACTTAGACACGTGGAAAAGGGAGATTGATTTTACCAAAGATTGTGAATTTGAATGCGGGATGCTGATAGTGAAGCAGTAAGCATTTATCTAGTGTTGCGTATCAATAATGTGCATGTGCGGATGATGATATAAACATTCATCCCATAGTGAAAATTGATTTCCTTTCGTTTTTACATAAACACGTTTAGCTAGTGTGGCAACTCTTGCGTGTGCGGATGAGGACTTTAATTAAACAGTCGTGTGTACGGAGTGAAAATTGATGTCCATATTGAAAGTTCGTTTAGTGTTGTGTTTGCGTTGTATCGCAGTACATGTTGATGGAGGGTCTCATCGACCAGTCCACAGCAGACGCAGCTGCTGACCTGTACACGGGTTGTAAGGGTGAGTCACTCTTTAAACTAAACATGGCAGTATATATACACGAGGGAGAAAGGGAGAGCGAAGGGCCCCGTTTCAAGAATGCTTACCTGGATTTGAGCATATTGCCGCCACGTCATTGCATGTACATAGATTGTAGCTTACCGTGGTCTGAGTGATAATGTCATTTTAATTTAGACCTTTTATATATACTGTCACATTCCCTTTGAAACAACCCTGAACTTCAAACTTATATCTACTTGCCCACATTCGCTTCCCTAAACCTGAAATTCTGTGTCTGCACGCAGATCTTATTGACTTGGGGCTCTACGGCCCTGCCTTCTTTGAATGCCAGGTGAGGTGGGGTTTTTTTGTTCGTTTTGAGAAATGATGATGACAGGTTTATCCTTATCCGCCAGTTTATTGAGAGTTTTGTACTTGGAGCTGCGGAGATAAAAGCGGGACGAAGGTAAAAAAACATGACGTCATACCACGGACTTAGTTAGTTAGAAGTGTGCTACGTCTTCCGTTTTACCCTTATAAATCCATGCGCTTATTCATTTGCATCAAGGCTTTCATTTTTTCACTCCCACAGCATCAATGTGTACGATATCCGTGAGAAGTGTGAGCATCCCCCACTCTGCTACAATATGGACAACGTATGTCTTAGTCTATTTTGTGTAGAGCAAATTAATGTTGAGCTCCGTTCTAACGCTGTCTGCGAAGATCACAGAGTTTCTAAACAAACCGGAGGTAATGGAGGATTTGGGGGTCAAGAGGAAGTGGGAGGCCTGCAGGAAAATTGAAGAGCTCTTAGTGAGTTGTTGACACCTGCTGTTTCCCATCTTACACTTCTATACCACTCTTAAAACAAGTGTCTCCTTATCTTGGAGAAAGAAGAAGCTTGAAAGAGAATGAAAGAGGAAAAAAATGTAACACAGTTTTATCAGTGATAGCTACATAATTATGGGAATGTTGCAGTACCTAAAAATGAAAGCTAATTGCAATCTTGTACTGGGCCCTACTTCTACCTATGCACTGCCGCATCCCTTTAGCATCTCAGCCCTCATAGTTCACCGCTCTACTGTGTCTGCCACAGCTGATAGGTGACTGGGTGCACAGTTTCCAAAGCGCAGCTGGGATCGTTCTCGGCCACGGACGACGGGTGGTCGCGTACAGCGGAAAAGACGACTTCATATGCAACTACCTCGGAGGGAAGGATTGGGTCGAGTCGACAAAATGGAGCGGGCAGGCATGTATTATCATCTAGCAAAGATAATTATGTGCACGCACACACACACTCACACACACACCTTCTCGTCTTTGTATTATATGCCGCAGACTCTTTTTGGTTTTGGAGATTGTAGCATTACTAGGAGAAGATATCTGTTCTGTTTGGCTGATAAACCTGTTGTACCTGGCTAAGTGTTAAGTATTGGACAATAAGGCATCAATACTCTGGTGTGTTACAACTACTCATTATGTGTTGCTCTGTATTCTGGCAGTCTGCCTTTGACAATGCACCGTTCAAGAACTGGACGGTGAGTGGTCACCTGGCAGGCAGTGTGAAGACTGGAGGAGGACTCACATTCATAGAGGTTGAGAATGCTGGTCACATGGTGCCAATGAACCAGCCTGAGGCGGTGAGTAGGGCTTCTTAAAGAGGTATATACTTCACGTGCTCCCTATACCAAAATTGCAGCTACTAGCTAAAAGTCACGTCTAGTATGTCGTACTGTCATGTGTGTTTGTCTTTCTTTCAGGCTCTGGTCATCTTGAACAAAACCATACATAATATGCCATTTACACCTAACTAACAGTATAGTCGATGGACCTGCAGTATATTAGCATTTTATGCTCCTACTATACATTGTTGTTGTATGGAATTTTGAAATAGCTTATTATGATGTCGCATGCCTTGTATATTAACTTGTATACAACTGCGTGAGGTTAAGTGGTTTATTGTCGGAGCCAAACAAGGCATACTATAATGATGGAAACTCTTTTGAGTGTAAGTGAGTGCATCTCTTCATCCACAGTGTTTCTTACCTCCACCAGTTTCAATATGCACAATGCAAACATGGAAAGGTATATTGACACTTAGGAACGGATATTGGAACATCTCCACGTGATAAAGATGGTTGATTCAACCAAATGGGGCGGACAGTTTAGGCCTTTTATGGTACTCTAAGTCAGCTAGCAGCAGATGGTTTGGCAGATCAAAACATACCTAAACCACCTCGGTTTTCCGTATTCCAGTTCATTAGGAAACTTGGCAATATGCATTGTTGGGTAATGAAACTGATTTGTTGTTGATTTGTGGGGTAATGAATGATAGCTCAACCAATGATCATGACTCTAACTGCAAATTTGATACAAAAACTCTGTGAAATGGATGATTAATGATTTTTAACGTTTAAGCTTCCAAACTATACATACTGCAGCGAGTGCAATGGTGAGTTATATTGTTATGAAAATAAATACAACCGCGGTTGCAATGAAGGCGTTCTTCCATCTATTGATGTCTGCCCTACAATCACTAGTTTCTTCTTGGCTGCAGTCACAGCTTTTAATCACTGGAGTTTCACTCTGTGGTGCCCTGCACTGCGTACTGCAAACAGAGAGAAACGGAGAAGCCTATAGCTACACTATATCACCTTATGATGATACAGACAGAGAGAGCTAATGTGTATGGAGAGAGACTGGTGCCAGTAGAGTGTATGTAGGGTGTGTAATACTGGGCAAAGATCAACGGGACTGGCATAATCATGTTACTTACAAACTTGGCTGAGGTGTGGTGGTAGTAGCAGTAGGACCCTTCAGGACCACTGTTGAAGTAGGACCTGGTGGTTCCTCCAGTCCCCTCACGTACTTTAAGACTACTGCTGAAGGGCGAGAAATGCTCTGCGAGCAGTTTGGTGGATTGAATGTGCATTGGAGGCTTGCCACATCTTCTCTGGTGACACTGGGCCCGCTGCAGCTGAGAAAATAAAGCCCTGCCACTACGCTCTGTGAATGGAGGAGAGAAAAGGAGAAACATGGGCATGAACACAGCTACCACACAAATGAACAGGGACCATGTAGGCACTGGAAGTACATACAGCTATAGACACAAATGCACTTGGACACTGGGCGTACAATCTCTGCTGCCAAGGCATTAGTCATGTGATTCTGGCTCCTTTCTGTGATATTATTATACAGCGATATGAACAAAGTGAGGTGAAATTATAGCCACGTAAACATGCAGAAGTGTTTGGCTGATGTTTATAGTCAGGAGATAATAGGCTTTTGTGGAGATCTGAACATTCTAGATCTGTGTCCCTAGCCCCAGACAGTGACAGTATTATTATTACCATGTATCCTCTGATAGTGTTGTCAGTCAGGTCTCTGAGTAGCCCCACAACATCACTGTCACTGAATCCAGTGTTTGTGAAAGACTGTGATCCCATCGGTTCGCAGCCATAATAGAAATACAGGGTGTTCTCCTCAGCACAGAGCTGAAGTCTGACATGCTCAAACTGCTCTTGCTGTCTGGGGAAGTTGAAACTAGCAGAACTTCCTCTAACTGTGATGTTCACTAGAGTCTGGGTCAAAACAATACTCCCTATTTCCGTGAGATTGTTGTGGTAGAACGTGACCAGAGGTGCCAGGTTCCCAGTCTGTGTGTTGGCTACGATGCTGACACACCACGATCTATTCAAACGGTTGCTGAGTTCATTAAAGGGTACACTGATGCCTGGGGTATTGCCCGAGTCAAGCCCGTAAGACTCATCTCCACTACGCCTAGAACATGCTCCTTTGTTTATTGTCAGAACACCATCTCTCCCTTGTGGCTGGAGATAATTCCAGTGAAGGTCTACAGATCACAACAAAAAATAGAGAACGGATAACACTGGTAGCCACACTGGCCTAGACTCTAGATAGCTTACCATCTAGTCTACATTCATTGGCCTCCCCTTCTGCTGCAGTATAGAGAGAGAGAGATAGCAGAACTTTGTACTAGATCCAGGTTACAGACTCACAGGAAAATACTTGAGCAAGTGAAGAGTCTAGTAGCAGTGGCAGAAAAACTGCCCACATCCACATCACTGGACTGTAGTAGCATACTGGCAAACTCATGGCTGCTCTGATACCACCACCTGAGTCTTCCGTACTGCACACACTCAGCAATGCCTCCGTAAACACAGCTACACGATTGCAACGTACACGGGTCTGAATGCAACTGACAGCAACACCTGTATATACTTATGCTTGGCTGGCTGCGAACCAAATTTTGGACGTCAGTCAATTGGCATCATCTGTGTGGTTCCAAACACTTCCGTGTGTTAGCATACATGCTACGTACAACTAGCTATAATATACCATATGGCTTTCAATCACAGTGCAAATACGAAAGCATATGGTGCGCCAGCTTCTATATAGCTATAGCTACATGGATACATACATCAATAAACAGATTGGGAATCTTTTCACTCTGTGTATTTTAGGAAACTTACTTGAACATCCACGAGGTAACACAATACGCATGTGCAGTCCGCATTTTGCGTAACGTATGTGCTGATTATGCAAAAATTTGTTCTGCTTTTCCTGTATCAATAATAATTATACATCTGAATCTGCGAGCAAGTGAACAATGCCATCTCTTAAAATAAATAAAAATGGTCAAGTTAGGCATAATTATATACAGCATGAAAGAATCTAAGATGTTGTGAAAAGTCCGAGTGAGTGAGCGTGTCTCTCCATCTTTCTCTCCCTGACTCTGTCTCCCAGTCCCGTCACCAGCCTCATCAGCTCCTCCACGTCCAGAGTGTAGTTGGTGAACTTTGGACTCGGGTTACCAGACGTTGGACTGTAGCCCTGTACACACACCCGACAGTGACGAGTGCTCTCAGTAGCAGTACATATGTTACCATATACCACAGTTTGTTACAGCTAAGAGGCAACTGGGAAAATGGGCAGGGGCACGTTGGCGGCTAGCCAGGTGAAAGAGATTACTTCACATGCAGCAGAAGGTAGCTCTACAGTGGGAACCTCCGACTATGGAGCCAATGCTGTGGGGAACTTAGCTCTATATACATACATACTTCTGCTTCTTTCCATATCTTGTCTCCTTTCTCCCAGGTAATGTATTCAATCCCTCTAAAAATTGAAAAAAGACATGAAGTAATAGAGATTTAAAAATTGAATAGACATGAAGTAATAAAGAGGGGTTGCATTATTATTATTTTTGCCAACCTAGAATAATAGTTGTAAATGATATTACCTCAGTCTGGCTAGGTCATAATAGCACCTGGGGTCCTCTGTATTAAACCTGGACGCAACATTCATACAGAGTGGAGTGTAAACAAGTAGGAATAAACAATGATGTCATTGTTTACATCTCAAAGACTCCGGCCCAATCAGGGAGGAATATCATGTGGGTCAGTCCAGCTCCATGTATCCCCATGAATATGTCAGAATTATGACTCGTCTGCAGAAAACAACGTCGTCCAAAACACACTATAGGCTGACAGACAAAGACCATACGCCCAAGTTTCAATTTAATTCTGGCTCAAGCGGAAGGTGAATTGTGTGGTTGGTGTTGGTGTTGTTTCTCTGATATGCATATCATACCAATTCCTACACACCTTTATTTGCTCCAGGAATGGGAATTCTCTGCAAAGTGGGAGAATAAAAATAATTTTGTTAAAGTGGACACAACAGCACTCTGCTTTGTTTCGAGAGAGAGAGATTGTATATACCTGAACTTATAGTCCACCACAGAGACATCGAAATAGCCAACTGTCTTCAGTGCATTCACCAGCTGGAGACATTACAATCGAGAGACAATCTATATACAAGATGTCGATGACGTATTTACCTAATCGCATCTTCAGTTGTACGATATTGTGTAAAGACCGAGACACTATAATTATACGCATGCGTACTCTATATATCCCATAAATAAAATCGCTACTGGCGAGGTAAGGGGGTTACAATTGCATGCATCTCTCCAAACATTCAAAAACTACTACCACCAATACATAAGCAAGAACTTGTCAACGGAAGTTACAGCACTCTAAAGCTAGAAGTATCCCTAGGCCAGCCCCTAAGTAAATGTGTTAGGGCTGAAATACTTGCACAACTATTGCCAGACCTCATTCTCGTTGACAATTCTGCGGTGTTTGGTGGAGCGAGAGAGGAGAGTCACCCTCACTCTCTCCGGGAGCCTGGAGTCCTGTGGTATTCCCAGCCTTGGTACCAGATGTTTGGTGAACGCCTGCATCAGTCCCGACCCTCTGCAGTCCGGAGTCTATAATGATGACAGGGACAAAAAAATCTTGGTGTTAAATTAAGGGAGCTCCTATATACGTGCTTTGGTATATTATTATCTTGTCTTGTGATGTAATGGTGTGGCTAAATTCTACAAGTTTGCTATACAGTATCCTATGATGGAGGTCCAATTATTGTGTTTCTCAAAACGTAGAGCTGTTTTTTCCACGCATTTCCTTCGGCTCATGTTGTGCTGCAAAAGTGCAATACTTACAGTACAGTAAATATCCTATGATAGACACTCACAAGTATTATGATTAATCTGACGTATGGTATGGCTGACCAGATAAGTATTATAGTAGAGGCCTTGTTGCATGCGAGCCAGCAGGGAGAAAACGACGTCCTTGAAACACACCTGAGCAAACGAGAGACCTAGCAGGAGTGAAACCCTTCAATTAGTGCGAGATTCTCACTCTCTTTCCTTGAAACTGAGCCAGTTTCATGACCGGATGTCTCGTAAAGGCTCTCCACGTCTCAATGAAGGGATCTCGAAACTCCTTCGATAACGTCTGCACACAATCAGTGAGAATCTCCCTTACTCAACTGAATGAAAAGCACTAAAGTGCAAACCCTCGGCGAAGTAGCTCGCAGAGAGTCTGACACGGGCTAGCTACAGTAGTAGATAGCACGCGAGAGTCGATACACGCCATTCGTTGCGACTTCTTGTGCCTTCAAGATAGACAGAGCAAGCGGACCCCGTCGAGGTAAGCCTGTGCTAAATATAAGCGCATGCGCATTATCCGCCAGCGATATTGAAAATGGGGACTACCGGCATTAGCCGGCCATACAATGCTGGAAGCGCTCTAGCTCTGCAACGGAGCATTTTCAGAGAAAACCCCACATAATTTCTGACCTTCGTCGCCCGTTGGGTAGATGGTATCGTTTCTGGGACGAACAGACATTCGAGAGGTGAGATGTAGAGTAACAGACACACACACAGACAAACCCAACTACTGTAACCCTCGCTGCGCATGCGCGCCGAGGGTTAACAAGGGTCACTGAGAATGTCCCTCATTCAGAGGTATAGTATAATACACTAATGGGACAGAAGAATCTGTCTTCTACTTGGTGAGTCCATCTTCGCAGGTTTCACTGCAGACAACAGTGGGAAACTTTGAGAGGGAGGATAGTTACAAGGGTTTTATATATTATGGGTGCCTCAGAAAGTTTTATACATGATATTAATAATGGGCAGGGACATTAGTTTGTTAATCTGCAGAGTTTTATTTTTTTTATTTGTTACCCAGTCATGCAGTTCCCCCCCCCCCCAGAAGTTTCTATTCGCAATGAACCGGTGAGAGCAGCGCAACTCACAGTGTCCCATATGACTATCTGTACGTCATCACTGAAAGAGCCGTTGACGTGCTGCGAGGCGTAGATATTGAAAAAATCGCAGAAATGATGGTACATGTTGACCACTGCGTCCAGCTTGATAAACACAGTGGGCCGAGTCACTATTTCGTCACATTGCTCTCCCTCTTTGACCTTGAAATCCACTGAACTATAGCCTCCCAGCTCTGCATACCTGAGGAGGAATATTTTGCAGCATAAATTTTTTGAGGAGTCATTTAAAATTGTTTTGGTAGTTTGGTGGTGTTCAGTCAACAATTTTTATGCAATTATTTGGCCTGCTTGATGGATGGATGCATACATGTATGGCAAAGTCAGTGGACTCAAAATGCTGCTAGGTCCTGATATAATACCATGACTGCAAGGGTGACTTGTGCCTTGCATTGTCTCTGAGTCTATTAATATCCAGTTCACAATTACCACCAATCTCCCCTTCTTCAAATATATCCTCCAAGAAGCTGCAGGAGAAATATCTCCAAATAACAATGTGCCCGTAAAACAGTCAGTGGGTTGAGAATAAAGTATGGATCGCAGTACGTCACGGGTGTCTGCGATGCAAAGTAATGCAAAGTCTTAGGAATTTTGTGAACATTATACGACACAATATCCTGTCATGTTTCCTCATCCGCAACATAATCGTGCAACCACTACGTGTCGTGGACTCCAGTGACATAATATTGTGAACCAGGTATTGTAATCATTTGGGAGGCAAACCTTCTGTAGGTGCCCTGTTTTTCTGTCATCTGACGATAGCGTCTGAGGTCCATGTAGAGATTTCTAGCTCTGCAGTACCGTAGCTGTGCCGAGCAGATCAGCTGCGATGCTCCCTAATCAACACATGTTATTAGAGCAGATACACCCAATTGACTTACATTAACTGACTGTTAATAGTTTAGAATTCATTGTTTGCATAGCTTCCATCTTTCGGGCAAATTGCATTCTCAATACGATAGTATAATAATTATTAGAGGTTCTACTGCATTACGTATATCCAGGTTAATTAATCGATCACCCACTTCTGCAATCTTCCCCTTTGGTGAGCAGAGGATGGCCAGGGAGTCCACTACTTTCTTGACGTAACCAAAATCTGCCTGGGTCCAGAACAGCTCCATCTTCCCCTCCATGGTCTGAGCCCAGGGTTTTGGAGATCCGTCGCAGCGAGGAACAAACAGTCTGTTGTCCTCGGTGCAGTCCCGCTCGTAGCCCCAGCACAGTCCACCCTCCCTCTCCTGTCAAGTAGGGAGAAGATAATGACGGGTGTACAGTGGGTGGAACCCCTCTCTAAGGACACCTGAAACGTCTCTATGTAAGGACACATTATTGGTTGCACCCCTGATGGACACCTTACAACATTGTCTTCTGTCCCAGATTTGAGGGGTCCACTGTTAAAGACAAATATGTAAAATAAGAGACATTGTACACCTCGCAGGTTGAATCTTCACAAGTGCTTGTTGCTCCTGCATCGGTAAAAAGGGCGGGGCCCTCCCCCAATCTCGCCAGCATTTCGTCCACCGTAGAGCCATCGTGGCCTCTTCTGTAGCTCTCTTTCAATGCTCGCAGAGTCTGCGGACATAGGCACGTGGCCAAAAGAAGTAACGTCCATAGAGGAGAACACATATCGCGATAGCTGTAAATCCAGGGTGGGTCCGGATCAACCGTGTGGAATGCTTTGCCGAAGGCGCGTAATGTTTGCGCATGCGCAACTATTAAATGCTAAGCTCACCGCTGCGTCGTTAATTAGCCGGGCTCACTTGAGCGTAGCTCCGGCCAGTCATTGTGTGTTGTCAGTGTTCCGTTTCCTCTCAGGACGCACAGGTGGTGATCGGAGCTGTGTCTGCGTGCATCGTTGAGTTTCACCAAAGGATCAATTCCCGCGAGAACCGTGCCTGTGGTCTCTGTGTGGTCTGCGTGTCGTGTTGCCCTACGCATACCTCTCCGTCCCTCCGCTATTAGCTGGCCCATGAATATGAGCTCCTTTCGAAAGTACGGGCGCTACTCTATGAACCTGGCTATGGAGCAGGAGCGACTGCAGGGGTGGCTGAGCGTCGCTAACGTCGTGGATAGCGGTAAGAAGCGACTAGTTGTCGTTTTCTTTGCAGCTAGCTATACGTAGCAATGTTTGCCCGTACTAGCTACTTGCGGTGTTGTTGGAGTTTCAGCTGTTGATTAGCGGTGCATGAGTCGCTTGGCAGCCAAGAACCGTTTGATATAGGATACCGTGTTTTTCTGTACATGCCCCTTAGTGCGTACGCTGACCCTGCCCCTGCCCGTATAGCTACATACATGTATTACGTGTGTGCTAGACCGGCTTTGGTAGCATAGACTGTCCTATGCATCCTGCTGCTAGCTAACTGTAGGTAGGTATACGCAGCACCTTATCAGTCACAGTTATTGTATAATTACACGGGGGGCCCCCAGCGTAGTGTTAGTCTGAACATCGCTTGGCTGTAGGCTGCACAGCACCCCACTCACTCGCGTGGTCTTTGTTTCACACTGAACCCTGTGCCAAGTGGGGAAGACATGACTGTAAATAGCGGCCGGTCTGCAGCCGTTGGTCAAGTAGCCACCGTCCCATTTCCCCAACCACTAGGTGTGCTAATGGCTCAATTAACTGTCGCCACTACGCCTGCCAAAGCTGTGCATTCATCCGCGTTTAATTTAGTAGAGACTCATGCATGTTGAGTGTGTGTTGAGAGGTTGTGGCGTAAAGGAGTGCGCTTCAGATTTGAGAACAATGACAGCGCCTGACCACATCCCTACTCACTACACCATAATAATGCTTCCTCCCTGTGCTTATGTAAGCTTATGTAATGCATGGTTTACCTTTGTGTGCAGATTGTGTCGACCAATTGGAGTGGCACAGACGGTACTGCGTTCTCGAAAAGGACGAACGAACACTCTATTTTTACAACGACACAGAGGTAATGTACAATATAATTTTACAGCGCGTCACGACGTGTGTTCATACGCAAGCTGTGTACATGCGTAAGTGTATCAATCATAATGTCGTTATTTTTGGGTGAAGAACGAGCGTTATCTACACATAATGTCAAAACACTCTATCGCTTTCTTTTCAATGATGTAAACTATATATTGGGAATGGGAGAACCTCCTATATATGATATTACAGTGTTTGGTGGAACTACTCTCTAAGGACACCACTGAAATGAGGACACCTTCTTACCGCAAGAGAATTTTCTTTTTAACCCCTGTCATAACGAAACCTCACTGATAAGGACACTTCTTCTGTTCCATTGGTGTCTGTATTGGAGGGATCGGTAGGAGTTTGTGTGGGCAGTTGGCTAGATTGGGTGGTCCAGATGTCGCCCAATAGGAATTGTCCACCCCCCTCCACCTATAGTACCCCATACGTCTGCTGCCAGTGCAACCTCAGTATTGTCTACTGTACAGTTGCTGTGTTGCTGGACATGAATGATGCCTCTAGCCCTACCTACAGCATATACAATACATTACAACACCTCCCATATGTACACAGTATAATAATGGTGATATTACAGTGTGTAGGTGGTATGTTGGTCTACTGTCTGTCTGTGTAGCTGGCGAAGTACAACTGACTCGGTGCAGCATTACCACTGCAATGTAGCCACTTTTAAAACGTGATATAATCTCAGTAATTGTTAGTGATCTCAAGTATGTGTGTCATCTGCGTTTTCCTTCTTTTGTCTGTGAAACTATAATATTATGCTTTGGGTTCTGAAAGTTTGGGAATTAGGGGAATGCTGTTTTCCACACCTCACTCTCCTCTCTCATTCTCCCTCCTTTCCCCCTCCCTCCTCTCTCTCTCCCCCACTTCCTCCCCTTTTGTCTCCTACACAGAGTGTTCCTCTGACAGGTCGGCGTTCTCCAGTAAAGTTTACACTCAGTGGAGGAGGTAATCAATAAACACACACACACACAACATAGGTCGCACATAGAAAGCTAGGTATGTCCAGCACAGAACACCAAGTATGTCCACACACACACACAACATAGGTCGCACATAGAAAGCTAGGTATGTCCAGCACAGAAACCAAGTATGTCCACACACACACACAACATAGGTCGCACATAGAAAGCTAGGTATGTCCAGCACAGAAAACCAAGTATGTCCACACACACACAACATAGGTCGCACATAGAAAGCTAGGTATGTCCAGCACAGAAAACCAAGTATGTCCACACACACACACACACAACATAGGTCGCACATAGAAAGCTAGGTATGTCCAGCACAGAAAACCAAGTATGTCCACACACACACACACACACACAAACCTATATGCCTTCCATTGTTCTTGCACAAAGTGTTAGCTCCCTACAGTATAATATATAGTTCCGATTGTGTGTTGGCGTTGGTCCAATTACCTCCACCCTCCTGTGTCTGGTACGTCTTGGCACTGTCATGGAACTCTGCGATATTCTGTAGCTCGTGCACTCTACCAGCTACTGCTGTAGATCTGGATTCAATCATCCTTTGCTAGTGTCCACATTTTTGTGGTCACCCGGTGCTTCTGCATCGGTAGTAAATGTATCCCACCCCTACACCTCTATGTATACTAAACTACGAGGTATAGAAAGGCAAAGGCACAACAGACAAGTCAACTACACCCAAGACAGCTTGGAAAAATGAAGAGCTGCCCTGGGTGGGATTCGAACCCACGGCACTCTGCAGTCTAGGCGACTGCTCTACCAACTGTATGTATATACACCTTTGCCGGAAGTTACAATCCTCGAGGCAGCTGCATATGAATTGGGCACGGAGTGTCTGCAGGTGTATGTGTTTGGGCTGCGATGAGGTTTCTGTGTGCAGCACCACCTGTGGGAATGAGCGTTTAGCAGAAAGCCGATTCCTCATCTCAAAGCACTGTGTTGCATGTCCCTAGATGATATCTTGTGGTCGAAAGGTCGTTGGTCTTCATTCTAGTGTGTAATCACCACTAGCATGGAGTCTTTACAATCGTATTACTTCCATCTCACTAAACTCTCTCTCACTCGCCTCTCTGTCTCAGATGATGCACAGGACGGCCAGTGTCTCTCTACAAAGACAACGCTAAGTCTTCTGGACCCTAACTACATTGCAGCATCGAGTGGTAACAGCAGCAATTTTCAGAGGGGCACCAGACAAAGCAGAGTAAATCTTTCCCCCTCTCCCTCCCTCCCTCCTTATATCCTCCCTCCCCAATCTCCCTCCCCCTGTCCTCTCTCTGTCTCTCCTTCACAAATCGTCGTTTTACTGCTTCTCATTATTCTGTCTGTTCCAGAGTCTCCGAGACAAGGTCAGGTCGTCGCTGCATAAAAGTGTCAAGAAAGGTTCCCTGGCTGTGAGAGGCGAAGATCGGTCTGCTGGTGGCTCCGTCCGTGTGTCCAGATCAAAGAGCTTTGGGAAAAACGATCACATGATAAACTCGCAGTGAGTGGAGGTCTTTGGAACTGTTTGCATGTTGGAGGCTTTGTGTTCATTCCTTCCTTTCTTTTTCTCTGCTTGGTCTGTCTCTCCCAACCGCCTTATTTCTCTCATCCTCCTTCTTCCTCACTGGACTCTAACTACATTTCCTTGCGGTCCTTCCTCTCTCATTTCTCCAAACCTTTCTTTCTTCTCCCTCTCCTCCCCCCCCCCCCCATCATCTCTTTCTAACTATCAACCAAAGGTCAAATCCAGCCGGCATGAAGCTGGGTTCGTCAATGGAGAACCTAATACTGGGAGGAAGGACGGATGTAGGTGGGATGGGCCACTTCCTAGGACAACACGGCACACACGTGAGTACATACATATATACACACATTAGCTGAAACATCAGAGAATGCTCCATAAAGTATATACTATGATCTCAGACGCCTCGATTGTAGGGGACGTGATGTCATGTTTACAATACTTTATGTCGTCTTTGAGCATTGCATGTGGCCTTTAGGTGTGTCATGTAAACTGAAATCGGATCTACTAGGCTATTACAGTGGAACCCCTCTCTAAGGACACCTCAGAAATGAGGACACCTCTCTCTCTAATAAGGACACCTTTCTTCCCCAAGAAGAGTTATAATTTAACCCCCTGCGATTAACCAGGATACCTCACTCATGGACACTTTCTTTTGTCCGATTGGTGTCAGGATTAAAGGAAATATAGACACTTTATTTCTTAGTATTGGTTTGCTGATCAAAAGTGTTCCACTGTACTCTTGTGCACGTCGTTTTTCTCTCCCCGTTATAGCTGGACTTGGCCACAAAGGGGCTGTTGAATATCGGTCCCGTCCACCAGAGCATTTCTCCGCGTCACAGCTGCTTTCGTATCCTCACTGAGAGCGAAGTCCTGTACGCCTCATGCGGGTCTCGGGAAGAACTGGACAGATGGGTGACCGGGTGAGTCTGGGGACACGGGAGAGAGAGAGAGAGAGAAAGAGAAGATGGTTAACTTGGAAACTCTATTAAAAAAGAAGGAATCTTGAAAAGTGTCAAAAGCAGTTGTCTCAACTGGTTTCAATCCTCGCCGGAATATGTTTCTTACAAAGTTTGGGAACGGTTATAGGAAGTGCATGAATTGGACCTGCTTATGTCAGATCACTTATCCCACTTGCATATCCCACCAAAAAATTTCTCTGATCTTGATGTTCCCCTGTGTACGTACATGTTGTGTGGGTAGATAGTGTAGGAGGACTGTCGGGATTGTATAAAAGGTGGGGCAGTGTATGGCACAGGGTGTGTGCTGCCTATCATCACGTGGCACTATTGTGGACTCAAATTTCACAATCGTCCATGTACTGTTGTCATCTGGAGCACTCGCCACTCTACTTTTTTGTCTTTATTTCACAAATTGAGGCCGTCCGGGCACATTTGGTGCAGCGTTTTTCAGTGAGAATGTTTTTGTTCCAACTCCGTAATTTTCTCCTCCTCCTCCTCCTCCTCGGCAGTCTCACGGAGTGCCACAGTCCAAACAGGAACCACGTCCGTCGAGTGGACTCTTATCTTGCGGTGTGGATCCTCGAGGCCCGGGCCCTCCCTCCCAAGAAACGCTACTACTGCGAACTGTCCCTCAACGGAGTCCTCTACTCGCGGACCTGCTGCAAACTCATGAACGACAGCCTCTTCTGGGGAGAACCATTTCAGTTTCAGTGAGTCGTATGAGGCAGTGTGTGTGTGTACTTCAGTTTCAGTGAGTCGTATGAGGCAGTGTGTGTGTGTACTTCAGGCAATACTATGTATGAGGCAGTGTGTGTGTGTGTACTTCAGCATATTATGAGGCAGTGTGTTGACTTCAGGCAATACTATGTATGAGGCAGTGTGTGTGTGTACTTCAGGCAATACTAGTATGAGGCAGTGTGTGTGTGTACTTCAGGCAATACTATGTATGAGGCAGTGTGTGTGTGTACTTCAGTTTCAGTGAGTCGTATGAGGCAGTGTGTGTGTGTACTTCAGGCAATACTATGTATGAGGCAGTGTGTGTGTGTACTTCAGGCAATACTATGTATGAGGCAGTGTGTGTGTGTACTTCAGGCAATACTATGTATGTATATATATGGAGATGTTAGTTCTTCGTTTTAGGAATGACTGGGGCAGTTCAGGTTAACAGTGTGTGTACTTCAGGCAATACTATGTACGTATGTAGTATATATATGGAGATGTTAGTTCTTCATTTTAGGAATGACTGGGGCAGTTCAGGTTAACAGTGTGTGTACGTATGTATGTAGCTGGTGATCCAAAAGGTTAGAAATAACAATTTGTTTGAGTGAGTTTGCAGTTCAGCTTATACCTGTTGGCTGTTTTTACTTGCGATGTTAATTTAGCCTCACTATAATTATACAGTTTGACTCTCTCCTATTTAGTTGGTCAGTGGACTTTGGTTTATTGACATTTCAGTGTGGTTGGACTAAGGGTCACCACTAGCATGTGGCTAAATGTTTCATGTGGCTGAGGTGTATATATACCCTGCAGTTGTCTTCCATCTTCCACTGTCTATTGATGTGTGTTCCTTTGGGTGTTTCATGTGGTCAGGTATCATAGCCCATGTTACCGGCAGTGTCTGGAGGTGTGTGGTGCATATATAGCCCTGCAGTGGTATGTGTGGTATTCAATGTGGGGAGTGTCATTACATTGCAACTTTATAGGGGTAGTATGCATGGTGAATAATGTTAAGCCTCGCTACAATATGGTCGCTATCAATCGGGTATCAATTAGCATGTTAGCAATGCTAAGGAAATAGTATCATGCGGTATATATATGTCACTGTTAGGAAGAATATGAACTTACTTTGTGAGCCTGGTAGATGTGTGTTGGTTTAAACATTGTCCCCGCACACACACACACACACACACACACACACACAACACACACACAGAGATCTCCCTCTGCTTGGTTCAGTCACAGTGAGGGTTTGCCGGGAAAACTACAACAAGAAGAAGAAAGAGAGAAGTGATACCGATATTGGTGCGAGACTGCCCTTCTCGTCTTCTTGATTTATGCATACATACCTGTCTTACCTCTCCCCATCTCTCTCACCCTCTTTCTCCCTTACTCTCCTCCTTCTGTCCTCCTCTTCTCCCCTCTCCCCTCTTCCCTCCCTCCCCTCCCTCCCTTCTTCTCCACAGGAAAGATTGAAATTCCTGCTATTGTCTTGCAAAAAGGACAGATCCACGAGAAATGGTGTGTTACCATTTGTTTGCTGAACTGAAACACACACACCATAATGTTGATGTTTCCATGCATTGGGAAAACATAACTGTCTTGTCTCCCATTCTCTCTATACCATCCCGTTATTCCTCTTTTTCAAAAATTCGCATCGTCTCATCCACACACCATAGGTAGCCGTAAGGTTCTACGAAGTTTTAAATTCGCACGTCAACAAGTCTTTGTTTGTTACGTAGGTATCCGATAACTGATTATTCGGCTGGTGGATCAAAAGCAGGGTCCTCTAGCGGGCGACCCAGTGACAATCCGTCCGTTCGAATCAAACTTCAGTACAAGACTGTGTCCATTATGCCGCTCAAAGTCTACGATGAACTCCTGCAGGTACTATACGCACGGCACATTATAGGAAACTTTTTACTGTTGACGGAAAAATTCAGTTATTAGTAAGAAAACATTGCAGATTGGTGGTCCTACAATTAACCACGGTACCTCGCCAGTAGTGCTTGCGTCGCCCCTGGCTTCTACCAGCTAGGGTCTTGTTCTCTTTCTTACTGAGTCTCAGCACATTCAATAGATACGATACAGCTGCCATTAGACTTGGCTAGTGTGCTAGACTGGCCCCACGTGGGCTCTCTCTATGCTACTTATACGATTTTATTTATATGATATATAGAGTACGTATGCGTATATAGTGTCTCGGTCTTTACACATACAGTACTTGAGGACAGACTATGGCACTATGTGTGAGGTCTTGGAGCCAGTCATCCCTGCAAAGGCCAAAGTAAGTGCGTGTTTGCATTTCCTGCAAGGAAGATGGGTATCGTTGGTCATTCACCATTTCCTGTCACCTGCTCATTACTGCACTTCCTCTCTGTCATTTCCTGACTCTGTTGCTAACTACCTCTTCCACCACTTCTCTGATGGTTTATTTCCTACTTCTTCACTTAGTAGCAGAATATCTTCATTCTCTTGTTCTGTTCTGCTTCTCCTTTCATCTCCCTTTCTTCTTATGCCCCTCCCAACTGCTCCTCATCCTCCTCCTCCTCCTCCTCCTCAGGATGACATAGCTACCACTCTAGTCAGAATCCTACAGCGGGAGGGAAAAACTAGAGAATTCATCTGCGACATCATCATGTCAGAAGTACAGGCAGTAGGTGGGCGTGCTATAAGGGGTAACAACGTCCTCGATGACATCGTGTGTTACTATTTATATCCCACAGAGAACGAGAACCTGATTTTCAGAGGGAATACATTTGCCACGAAGGCGGTCGATACGTACATGAAGATGGTTGGAGTGACGGTCAGTTTCTTAAAATAAAGTGTCGTAACTTGTTTGAAACGGCAAACACCAGTGGGATCCTCAAAACCTCTCGTTCTGATGATCAATAAACGTCAAGTCAAAAGTCTGTACCACAAGTAAAGAACGTAGTGTATGAGTTTGGGCTCGGGTGAAAGCAAATAGACTTTGTGCTAGAGGGTCTTAAATTGGCCCTGCGTATGTCTCTCCCACAGTACCTGAGAGATACCCTGGCCCCCTTCGTCCACACGCTGATGGACAGGTACTGGGAGGAGGAGTGTGAGGTTGACCCCACGAAGCTCCCAAACCCCGCCTCGCTCGCCCAGAACCAGGCCAACCTCACCACCCTCGTCGCTAGGGCCTGGGCCGACATCCTCAAGTCGTACAACAAATTCCCCTCGTGAGCATAAGTAATTTGTTAATAGGGGAAATTCTAGGGGCATTATAATTGCAGCAAGTTCCTCTACTGATTAAAATACCTGTTTTTAATAGATAATAGAGGACCACTAGTATGAAAAAAGTCCGCCAGCCTGTTTGTTAATAGAGAACATGGTATATAGAATTGCTGGAAGTCCCCCTCCATCGAGTGTTTAGTGGGACCTCGGACGTGCTGGGATCGAAAACAAGTTAATGACTTCCACAACTATTTGCCTAGTTCAGTTTACCACACAAAGACACCTCACTTTATAAGGACACTTTCTTCTGTCCAATTAGTGTCCTGATTAGAGGGGTTCCAACCTATTCACTCTCCTTCCACATTCTTTACATTTATATCTCTTCATTGCAGGGACTTGCAGGTGACTCTGAACAGCATTCGCCAGAGGTTTGGACCTGAGAAGGAAGAGGCCTGTTTCAAACTCATCAGTGGCTCCATCTTTCTCCGCTTCTTCTGTCCGGCCATTTTGTCTCCCAGTCTTTTCTCCCTATGTCAAGGTAGGGAGCCCTTTCATTAAGATTCTTGGTGTATGTTCTGTTACCCATCCCTCTCTCCTCCTCCTTCTCCCCCCTCTTCCCTCCCCCCTCTCTCTCCCCCTCTCTCTCCCTCTGCTCCTCCTTCCCCCTCTTCCCTCTATTCCCTTCTCTCCCTGCTATCTCTCCTCCAGAATATCCCGACGAAAAGATGGCTCGTAAACTGACGCTGGTTGCAAAAGTCATCCAAAACTTTGGCAAACTTTGCGCGGTTCGGAGTCAAGGAAGAGTACATGTGCTTCATGAATGAATTCCTGGGCAAAGAGATAAAGAACATGAAGCAATTCATTGACACCATCTCAGTGAGTCATCTGAAAGTGTATGCATAATTATATACAGCTGTGTAATTTTACATGCTCAGTGAGCATGTAGCATTAATTCGACCCCCCTTCCCCCCTCACACAAGTCCCCTCTGGTGGGGAACCACATTGTTCCGTGGGGTCCGCAGAGGATCGACCTCGGGAGAGAAGCCTCCGTTATGCACATCTCCCTCTCCAACCTACTGAGCTCCGTTCAACTGCCTCCGGTGAGTGTCTGTCTGTTGGTGTGAGTGAGATTGCCACAGCGCACCTATTCAACTCCGCCCCTAAAAAGAGCTGTTCTGAACCCACAACACTCTTTTCTCCACACTGAATTCATGCTACCCTCTGCAGTTGCTTTTTCTTTGATCAGTTCCGCTATTGAGACCATCCGCTATTGAGTCTCTAGATAGTCCACTGTTGCCGGTTTTTCAGTTGTTTTGTGCAAAACCAGAAAGTTAACCGGAGAAGTTGCAATAACTATAGTCTTGTGTTTTCACTCAATGTCCCAAAAGCTCGTTCATTGTTTTGTTTGTGTCAGTACGTATGTACGTTGCTGCATGCGAGTGCTTCTGCATGCGAGTAATTCATAAGAGATTTTCTGTCTACAACTTTGATCCTTTACTGTACTTGTAGCACCCGTACACACTATAATTATGTAGACTGGTAATAGATGGGCTACTCATTACTCATTACGTAATCCTACCTTGTCATTCGTATAAAAAGTGGATGCGCGTGGAAACTAATCAGATTTGAGAGACTCAGCCAGAGTCACTGAGAGAGACGAGAGTTGCCACGTGCAAGGCTGGTCGTGCCACATACTAATTTACCTTTATTGTGAAGAACATACATTCCCCTCATTGTGAAAATAATTCTATCAGTGACAGTATGCCCAGTATGGGAAAAAACTTATCCCCTAGGGAGTATGTTATTCCCAGTCTCTTGTTTGCAGGGTGGATCTGTTCGTATCGAGACCCTCACGAGGCTGCTCCATGAAATCAGTCAGGCTGGCGAGGAAGATGACAGCGATCCGTTCACCTCCACCTTCGAGGCCCTCCGCGTGATGAAGACGACCATCAGCAAACTCAACACCGTCTTCCCACCCTCCGAGCGCTCGGGGTACTCCGACATCTCGCCGGAGTACGTTACTCCGGTCCAGTCGCAGTCGACGTCCCCCACTAGGGAGCTGAGTCCTCCATCGGCGGGGCCGACTGACTCCATGTTGAAAGGACTCCAAGCACTGGGACTAGCTGATGAACAGGTCACATACACACCACATTGCATGGCTATTGCTCTGGGGGAGAGAATTTATCAGTTCAAGAGCCGTTCATGAAGTAATATGTGACTGGTGTGCCGCCAGCGTGCCTGCTACTATATAGCGTGTGCCTACTGTTAGTATGTCATGCTCTATGGTGGCGGTGAGTTTGTTTACAGTGGAACCTCCGATAAGTGACCCTCTGAGATAGGGACGACCTCTCTGAAAAGGACACTTGTTTCAACCCATGCTAATACTTTAGTGTATTATTTGACCTCCGAGATAGGGACAACCTCTCTACAAAGGACACTTGTTTCAACCCATGCTAATACTTTAGTGTATTACTTGACCTCCGAGATAGGGACAACCTCTCTACAAAGGACACTTGTTTCAACCCATGCTAATACTTTAGTGTATTATTTGACTTCCGAGATAAGGACAACCTCTCTACACAGGACATAATCATTGGCCCCCATAGTGCCCACTGTTCAGAGGACATAATATAGCCCTATGTATACTCCTGTCACATTCCCTAACAGTATCCCACTGTCTCCACTGCAGAGTCCACTGTCGTCCCCAAACCTGTCGGGAGGAGGCTCCATGTCCAGTCTCGCCACTCACACCAACAAAGCCGTCCGCCGTGAGAAGACACGCACCCTTCCCGTCTCCTCACGCAGCAGCGGTCCCAGCGGAGGAGGAGGCAATTCCCTGGAATCCAGACGACTCTCTGACTCTGCCCTTCAGGTGAGGGCTAATCTATATAGTCACACCAGGGTGTTTTGTTGGAAACACAATTATAAGAGTGCCCACTTTTGAATTCTCGTATACAGTGGAGTCTCATTATAAAGAACACACTCAGTACTAAATTCTGGATACTACAAACACACCCTCGGAGCCTAGCCCTATAGAACACTGTACATTTTCGCCACATCAAATTCCCCTCACTGTGAACAAATTCTTTAGATCCCCAGCAATTCATTATAACGAGACTCCACTGTACTCACAAGCAGCTGCAAAGATACTCTCTCTGACTCTAGAAAGAGTTTGTGTACTTCGACATTTTTTGCAACACCCCCTGTTGGGGGTCAGACCCCTAGAAAATTTATTTTAACCCTGCATAAACTGACAAGTTAGCACGCAGTTGGTTGAACGTTTGAAATTTCCTCAATTCTACAGAGACTAGGCATACACAAGGTTGGGCCCGAGGTTCACTCCAGTGGTAGGAAGACAACGGAGGCCTTCACCATGGACGACACAGTGGAGGTAGCAGAGGTGAGGACAGACACACACACACAGTTAGGAACACAACCCTGTTGTACTGCCTGGAGAGCAGGGTTTACTGACGTTGTGGTCAGCCTGTATAATTATGTACTTGAAGGCTGGACACCCGTGAATAGTATTAGTGGGGTGTCCATGCTAGAACCAACTGTTCTTGGCAAATGGGAAGAGAAACAGGGCAGCCTTTTGCCCTCGTATCAAGGCTTAGAAAAGGTGTATTTAGTAGAGAGGTGCCCTCATTTATAGGGTGCCCTTAGAGAGCGATTTACACCGTGGGGAGGGGGACGTCTGTCTATCCTGTCTATTGTACATGCAGCTACGTCAGGAGATCATGCAGTTGCGCCAGGAGAACTCGAAGCTAGTGGAACAGTCAGAGAGACTCAAACTGCACAGCAGAGTGCAGCAGGACACGGCAGAGAGAGAGATGGGGAGACTCCATGCCGAGCTGGCTAGATACGAAAACAGAGTCAAGAGAATGGAGCAGGAGTTCCAAGAGACCCGTGGGAAACTCTTCAAAGGTCTGAATACTCAGACTGAAGTTGCGCTGGTTCAACTGACGAGAGATTTCGAGAACATGCGGACACAGTTGCTGGCCAAGACGAGATAATCGGTGCTCAAGAGAGAAAGATTGCGATTCAGGATGCAAAGATAGCGAGTCTTGTGGAAGCAAACGGGACACTTCGCGCTGGACTTCAAGATCTTTTGAGTTTGCCGAAAGAGCAGGAGACTGAAAGTGAAGAGGAGGAGGAGGGGAGGAGGGGGGAGGGAAACGAGACACCACAGCCGGAGTGGTGGTGAAGGAGGAGTTCCCAACGGTCACCTGGTGCACCCGTCACCAGGGGCGCACAGTGCAGACTTGTACAGAATGATCTCCCTACTTGACAGTGGGAAGTTTGATCAGTCATAGTCTCTACACCTGTACATATCATCATCATCATCACTGACGTCATTGTATTATTGTATTATTGTAAATCTCAGACAGATGGCTATAGTAATAATTGTCACGTCAGAATTTACTTGATGTTGACAAAAATTTTATTTTTTGCTCGAATTTTGAGCATGATATCCATGAAAAGAACCCGCTGATCACACAAGGCGGAAATAATGTCGATATAATAAAAGAGAATCAGGACCATATATAGCAATAATGCTTTGATCATACTGATAATAAGACTGATGATGTCAACTGATAATGAAAATCAAGTGAATGGTGGAAAAGCTATGTCACCCATATTATAATTACATGATTACGTACAAGTGATGTCCATCTCGTTAAGACAGCTATTACATATCATTAATTACAAGTTTTGTGATTTGTTGATTTACTCCTTCTTTCCTTTCCTGCAGACAAAGTACGAAGAGTAAATAAAATACTTGTTAGTTGGAGTGGTTGTCTGAATTGGTATATTATATACCTGTTAGTAAGAGAGTGGTAAGAGTGAGGTGAGATGCATGGCTCAGTGTTAAAGTGGGAGTCAATGGAGAGACCGCGGGCAGTCAGGATGGGATAGAGCTGCAGTAGACACAAGGCATCCAGAGCTTGTAGGGAACAGACAACACACACATCATGTGCCACTGTCTCGGGAACAATATCCCGGCATTCAGTCTATTGTGTAACTGACTGACTGCACCATGACAATTCATGCACGAACATCACTCGGCAGTTCTTAGTATGATAATTATCATCTTAAGGGAATGTGGCAGTATAATAAGGGATGTGAATTATGATCGATAGGGCCCAGAATGCACATACATACTAAATTTAGCCGTTAAAAACGGCAACATTTCCTTCAAATTCCACATCTGAACATGCCCCACAACACACTGAGGTTCAGCCCTCCCCCTCCAACCTGCATATCTCAGTTGCTCTATAGAAAGAGGCCTCTTCTCCCAGTCAGATATCTGCTGCGATTTATCCAGGGGCCTCCCCAGTTCCCTGTGGACCAACTGACTCAGTCCTTTGTGCTGGTCAGTCTCTAGGGGGTCCTCCTCCCTCTCCTCCCCCCGGGGGTCCAATTTTGCCGGTGGTGGCTTTTTTCTGGTGTCGGTGGGAGGGGTGTGTAGGTGAGGGGGTCTGGAGGTTTCGAGGGGTCTGTTCATCCCGGGGGGGTTGCGAGAGAGGAGGGGGTGGGGAGGGAACTCAGGGGGCGGGGCCTGAACAGCGCTCGACAAACTGTCAACCTAGAGAGTAGTGAGTGAAACATAATTATGTCATGAAGCTTTCCAACCATTAAAAAACTTAAGGCCCTAGTGTCTTATCAAAACGTTTTGGACATGGTTAAATTGTAAGCACCGCGAATGTTTGAAGAACGTATGGATGGCGGTGGCTATTACTAGCTAACCATGGAGGCAAGTGTCTTGATGTCCACAATCCTAGCAGCAGAGCTCAGAACTTCCGCAACAAACGGCCAAGACCGTGCGAGGAGCTCCAGGTCTCCTCCAACACTGTAGCCTGAGACACATTGAACCATCACACACACAGACACACAAGAGAGAGAGAGAGAGTGAGAGAGAGAGAGAGAGAGAGAGAGAGAGACTAGGGTGATTATCAAGGCACAAATATTGCACATTTTTCGAAAAGGGCACCAAAAGATAAATGTTTGGTGGCTTACAAAATAATAGTGCTAGCCCAGAATGGTTGTTCAATGAACCCACTAGAATATTGTTATGTACCAAGTTTGAGAGTGGAGGGGTTGGAGAAGACGTCGAACATGAATTCCCTGAGTTCAGAATGAGGGACGCAGTGAGGCAGAGCCAACATGTCCAGCAGGTAGACTGAGTCATTCACTGCCAGCTGGAGCACCGCCATCCTGAATCACGGAGTGACGACACTTAATAAATGCCTGGATTAACCTCCACCAAGTGAGTTAATTATGCAGTATTAGAGCCATGTTTTAAAGGCATAATGCTCTATAGGGTCTGTGTGTACTTTTGCCAAACTTTCAGTGTAAAATGATGGGTAATGAAGGTAACTGAATCTTGACAACTTAGCTCCTCAAAAACTGTGGCATGAACATACGTTTACCTCTCTTCCCAGCCATTGCATATTGGAAGCCTCCACTCCGCATCGACTCCAATTAAAGCTCCCCTCTGTTGCAGAAAAACAAAAATATGCGGGTTTCTGTCGGAAGAAAAAGTAGTTCATGCCGTTCTTCAGCTATATATATACCTAGGTCACCATGGTTACGAACACACAGACAGACATACACACCAACAGCTACATATACCTGAGTCAGCCTGTTTCCACATCTCCTGAGTGAGGCGGCATCGCTGATGAAATGTACACAGTCAGTGGGCAGTGACAACTGGAGATAGTTCAGCGAGGCAGCCCCTTCGTCTCGCCATTCCTCTCTTACTCCTCCGTCCCTGCCAGACATACACACCACCAGTTACATATATATACCAGAGTTCATACATCTCCTGAGAACAGTTTATAAGAATTTTAACTGCTAGTTGTGCAAAGTTTCTCTTAGTGTAACTTATGGAAAGTAAGACTTTTGCAGTTACACAAATTCCACCCACAAAATAATACAATGGCTGCACAGTATGGGCGAGATTGGGATAGGTGCAGCAAGATAGAACATGTTACCATTCCATACTCCAACACTAGTCAAAGTATTAAGGATAGTTGGTTTGTCTCTTTTTCTACTCTTGTTCCTACAACAAATGCGAAATCGTTGACACCTTTATTAAGGGAAGGACAGCGAAATTTGGGCGAGATTGGGATAGGTGCAGCGAGATAGAAGATGTCACCATTCCATACTCCAACATTAGTCAAAGTATTAAGGATAGTTGGTTTGTCTCTTTTTCTACTCTTGTTCCTACAACAAATGCGAAATCGTTGACACCTTTATTAAGGGAAGGACAGCGAAATTTGGGCGAGATTGGGATAGGTGCAGCAAGATAGAACA